CAGCATCTTTTGAGCTCCAACTTCAGCAACTTTCAAGCTTCCACTTCCTATTCTTCCACGTCTCAGAACCACTTCCTGGCTGTGTTCATGAACTGTCTGTTCCATTTTATCCTAGAAATTGTTCTCTTTTATTCACTAATAAAAAATTTATGAACATCATCTACCAGTGCATTAAACAATCCTCCATAATGTGATAAGTCTTAGGAGAACTCAATTCCTCAATCTTATTACTAAGGTGATCTTGCTACATTCTGAATGTTTGTGTCCCTCCAAAATTTATATGTTGAAATTCTAACCCCAAAGGTGATGGAATAGGTGGGGCCTTTTGGAGGTGATTAGATTCTGATGATAGAGCCCTCATGAATGGGATTAGTGCTGTTATGAAAGAGATCCCACAGAGCTCCCTAGCCGTTCCTGAGGTTACGATGAGAAGTCTGCCACCTGGAAGAGGGCCCTCACACAACCATGCTGGCACTCCAGGCTCAGATTTCCAGCCTCCGGAACTGTGAGCGATAAATTGCTGTTTATAAGCCACCGAGTCTGTGGGGTTTGTTTTTTGTGTGTGAGGAAGATGGGCCACAGATTGGCCCTGAGCTAACATCTGTGGCCCATCTTCCTCTATTTTGTATATGGGATACCACCAGAGCAGGGCTTGACGAATGGTGCATATGTCCGGGGCCAGGATCCAAACCCGCGATCCCCAGGCTGTGGAAGCAGAGCACGCGAACTTAAAATAACTTATGTTGTTATAGCCACCCAAACCAACCAAGACAGGTCTTCAGATTAAAAATCCTTTAGTGACACTGTGAGAGGTTTATCTTTTCCCTGAAGATTCTTTTATCTTTTTATTTTTTTGTGTGAGGGAGATCAGCCCTGAGCTAACATCCATGCTAATCCTCCTCTTTTTGCTGAGGAAGACCGGCTCTGAGCTAACAGCTATTGCCAATCCTCCTCCTTTTTTTCCCCCAAAGCCCCAGTAGATAGCTGTATGTCATAGTTGCACATCCTTCTAGTTGCTGTATGTGGGACGTAGCCTCAGCATGGCTGGAGAAGCGGTGCCATTGTAGAGATATTTCTTTTAAAATACTTCTATCAAGAGTAAGTCTTCATTCATGAATCAAAGCCAGATTTCACCAATAGGCTCTTACCTGATGTTCCAAAATGTATTCGCACAAAGTACATAGAGAAAGATACACGGCTGGGTGAGACCTAACTCTAGCAGGGTAGCTGCTTCAAAACCTGTCTCTCGAGGGCTCCGCAGCCGTGGTGGCAGGATTGCCACCAGCCCGGACCGGTGGAGTCTTCTGGGCGCAGCCACAGCCCAGGCGCCGGGGTTTGGGGTCTGGCGCAAGTCCCTCAGGCGAAACCCCCAACCGCGGCCCCGGGAGCGGTGGATGGGCCACATGGCTTCAGGGGCTCTGGAGCGGGTGCCTGCTTACGTTGCCTTTTATGACGTAGCCTTGGAAGTCCTGTACTGTCACTTCCAACCACAGGCTCAACTAGACTCAAGAAGATGGACCACTGACTTTGTCACCCCCTCCAAGTCATACTGAAAGAACATGCGAGATGGAGAGATTTTGTTGCTACTATTTGGAAAAAACAATCAGTCATAACACTCTTGCCAAGAGTGCATTGTGTGCAAGATACCGTTTTCCCTGCCCTTGATTTTGGATTTGGCCACATGACTTGATTTGGCCAATGTGTCAGTTCTGAGCCTATAGGCCTAAAGAGATTTTGTGTATTTCCACTTTCTCTCTTGCCTCTGGGCCGCTGCCATGAGAAGTATATGCCTTGGCTCCCCGACTGTTCCAGGACAAAGGGAGCTGCCTCAGTCAAGTCACCTCAGCTTAACCCAGCCTAGAAAAGCTGGCCCCTGCCAACCTGCAGATATATGAGTGGCCATAAATGCTTGTTGTTTTAAACCAGATTTTAGGGGTGATTTGTTATGCAGAAATGGCAGACTCACATAGGGAGGTAAAATCTTCTGGAACTGGGAAGTGGGGAACTGGGAACTCATACATTCATACACTGGTGGGAGCACAAATCTGTGCAACCACATTGGAAAGAAATTTGTCATTACCTAATAAAATTTTAACTGTTTGTACTCTAAAAATATTCTATTTGTAAGAGCATAAAATGGAAAAAATATATATATTCTGATATCAGAATGAACACAACTGAAATGTATTAAGAAGATGGAATATTATATTGAAGCTAAAACAAATAAATTATGGGTTTTCAATTATTGCTCAACCATCAGACATTTATAAGTACTTGAAATATGCAATGATCTGTGTTAAGTACTTGGGGAGATTATAAATGACAATGATACCATTAAGTTGCTTGTAGTACAACAGCTGATATAAAACAAGAATATGCAGAGATAACTGTATCTAACACAATGTGTGGAAAATGTCACTAGACTATGGTAGTAGGTGATAGACTGAGAGTTATGAGAAGGAAACCTCACTCTGCCTGCAAGAGCTATAACATTGTAACTCCTGGGGACTCTGCAGAGAGCAAAAACAGAATCTGTGAAAAAAGCTTTATTGCCTCTCCTTGTCATGTTTCCTGCTGATATTAGGTCCAAAGTGATAATAATCGGTAAAGATTATTCTGCACAATTAGGGTATTATGGCTAACTGGGCTCAATCAAAAGAAAAATAAGTCCACCATCAAAAAGAGAAGTGACAAAGTGGCAAGTTAAATACCTAGTCCCCTCAAGACCCAGTTTGAAGGAAGTGCGCTGTTAATTTTTAGACAGAATGGAACCACACACCCAAATGCTTAGAAAAACACAGTTTTTTCAAATATTGAGAACTGATGAGCACAGTGAAAAACAATTCCAAACATGACAGCTGTTTTTTAAAATAGCCTAAGCTTTTACTTTTGTCTGAAGAAAAATCGTTTTTAAAAGTGAGCCACTTCACCTCTTTTTTAATAAGTGAATTGGAAAAGAGCTATTCAACAACTAAAACAAAGCAAAAATCATTCCTTATATGGTTGGTGCCAAAAGTGATAAGATGCACGCTTAGACAAAAAGAAAAAAACGCAAATCACCTTAATTACATAAACCTGGTAACAGTTTAACTACAGTTTTATAGGCTGTTTACCTTTCCTTTTTCTATCTCTTGTCTATCAGTGGATCTATATTTATGCAATCATTATGTTGATCAAGCAATACTCAAGGAGGGTAAACAGAAAATGGCTTCATTTTTGTCTCATTGTCACTTTAAATATGCTCAGTAGAGCTAGATCTTCCCTGATCCTGCTGAAAATTTAGAGGTCATGATTTTTTTTGATCAGTCCTACCTACTACAAATGGTTTCAGCTCAGTAATATAAATATCCAGTCTTCATGGCAGAGTGAAAATTAAGACATTTAGTTTCAATCTGTTTGCAGTTTATGGCAAATTGTATTTTCCAAAAATGGCTGCAACAATGTTTTTGGTCCCACATGGTCTTCCAGAACCTTGCCACTTTCTCATCAGGAATTCAAGTCCATGACCTTCCTCTCGAATCTGGATGGGCCTTTTAAACTGTGAATTTTGTGGAAATGATGCTATGTGATTCTGAGCTAGGCATAAGAGGTGATACAGCTTCCATCGGGATTTTTCTTGGGACTCTTGCCTTTAGAACCTTGAGCTACAATGTAAGATGACTGAGGCTACTGTGCTGTTAAGAAGCCCAAATTGGCCCACACAGAACGACCACATGGAGAAATATTGAGATTACATGAAATAAGAGAGATGTCCAGCCAGCTCCCAGTTGCTCCTGGAACTCAACACTGTTCCAGGTTCAGCAAACATGAAAAACCTTCACCAGAACTATCCAGCCAGGCTGTTCCTGATTCCTGACCCAGAGAAACCATGAAAGATAATAAACGACAGCTGTTGTTTGAAACCATTAAACTTGAGAGACTGAATATACAAACAGACAATGCCAGATCATATATGACAACAGAACTTTCACCCACAAACTCTGCAGCAACCAACTGGTTTCCAACCAGGAAACCAAACTACAATATCGGCAGCAATCAGCCCAGAACAGTCAGGACTTGGTCAATGACCACCAGCTTCCCTATTTTTTGCCTCTCCTTCCAACTCAGGACCTACCAACGCCAAATACGATCCCCAAATCAATCACATAAAACGCATCGCTTCTAGTCAGCCCACCTTCAACTTGTCTGTGCCAATAGCCTCCCATCCGAGCACACCTGAAGCTTCCCCTTTTTTCACAATGAAGCTGTCCCACTCCTCTGCTTGCCTTTGCGTCTCTGCCAAATACAAGTGATGGTGGCTGCAATTCCTGTAATTGGAAACAACCTAACGATAACAAGTTAAGACATTAATTACATAAGTGGCATGTAGAATTTACAAAATATTGTGGAAGAACACTTACTGTTCAATATATATTTGATTTTAAAAGCAGGTTAAGGGGCCAGCCCCGTGGCTTGGCGGTTAAGTGCGCGAGTTCTGCTGCTGGCAGCCCAGGGTTCGGATCCCGGGCGCGCACTGATGCACTGCTTCTCCGGCCATGCTGAGGCCGCCTCCCACATGCAGCAACTAGAAGGATGTGCAGCTATGACATACAACTATCTACTGGGGCTTTGGGGGGAAAAATAAATAAATAAAAATTAAAAACAAAAACAAAAGCAGGTTAAGAAGACAAATGTTTATATGAAAGGATGTAAGTTTAAATATAGCTATGTCTGAATGGAGAAATTACAAGTATTTTTTATTTCTGAGTGTAGAAGGCAGGAGAAGGCAGGTGTGTGTTTTGGGTTTGCGTGTGGGGCCAACGCAAGCGGGATGCTCCCAGGTGAAATTCTGAGCTCACCTGAGCTGGCCTCACCACGCCCCCGCCGCGCCTTGGGGAGGGGCTTCGAGCGTGCCTCCGGCCCGTGCAGGGGCTTCTGGGAGATGTAGTCCAGCCGACAGGCCCCGGTGCCTTTTTGCGCCAGGGCTCAAGCGGCTGGGCCTTGCTGGTCCGCGGCGCGGGTGGACCGGGCTTGTTCCATGGGACAGTGGCCGGAGAAGGCCCCGTGGCGGCCTCCGTGCCCAAGACCTCCTGGAGGACGCTTGGAGAGGTGAGTCCCCAAATCTTCCAGGCCGAGGACGGCGGTAATAGCCGGGGGTCTGCGGTCGTGCGAAGGGGGAACGGGGAAAACCGAACGTTCAGGTGTCGCGGGGTCTGGGAGGCGACGCAGGGGGCGTCTTGGTTTTATTGAGGTGGGGGCGGATGGCTGCGACTGTGTGTCCCCAGGTTGGTAGGCCGCCAGGCGTCCCTGGGTTGGGAGGCAGCAGCCAGGGGTCTTTGGATTTAGGGGGCAGCTCAAGCTGGCATTTTGGTTTAGGGGGGCAGCTGGGGCCTTGCAACCCCAGGTTGCTGGGGTGAGGACAAGTGAGGCAGGTTCAGGGGTAGCGTCTGGGGCTGTATGTTCTCAGGTGTTTGTGGGGGCGGCTAGATCTGTGCATTCTGAGGTTTAGGAAATGGGGGGGGGAGTTAGGAACTGGGTGCCCCTGGGTTTGGGATGTGGTGGGGGTCGTGAGTGTTGATCTTGAGAGTGGTAACGTGTTCTGGCATCCCTGGGTTTGGTGGTGTGGCTTGGACTGTGAGGAGGTGGGTCAGAGTCTTGTATGTATCCCCACTTTTGTTGTAGATGCTCCTGTGAGACCACCTTCACCTCTGACTTAGAGGGTTTTTCTGTAAGTGGGTCAAGGAGGGTGTTATCAGAGTGATGGGCAGAGTGTCCTGGACGCCAGGGTGCACTATGCCTCCACCAGGCCGTTTATGGATTGCCAAAGGACTCCCCTCGCTTTGCGTTGAGAAACCTCAGAGCTCAAAGAGGTCAGCAGCTTCTCTAAGCTCCACTGCTGTGGAGTTAAATGACCTTCCCCTGGGGACTTGTCTCTGGGGTGGCAAAGCCAGGAATATCACACCTATAATCCCCTCCACAGATAGCTGCAGAAGAGGATTCTCCACACTTTTGGCCAGAAAGGCTGTGGAGGGGTTGTTTTCTCTTTGTTGTCCCAGAGGAAGTTGTAGTCCCAGGTGTTGAAGATGGAGGTGGCCCAGTTGCGAATTTGGTATCAGAGATGACCCCTGAGTCACAGGCCTGGCTGAATCTCTGCAAAGCCCCTCTGAGTGCAGAGGTTGTGGGATGCACATGCTCTACGTTGTCTCTGGTCCTGCAGGCCGAGGTTGGCTCCTGACTCTTATTTTCCTTTTTAGGTAAGAGTGGATCTGCAGAGACTGGGTATGAGGATTTCTGGCATGTGACTCAGTCCTCATTGCTCCTGGCTCCCAATTCTGCCCTCTTTGGAATCTGCTGGCCCTGAGAGATCTATGAAAAGAGGAGAAAATGGCTCCCCGGTTCCTGGCAGCAAGACCCCCAGTGAGTGGGATTTAACCTCTTTCATGCAGTAATTCCTCTCCCCAGTTGGATGACGTGTTTGTTCACTGCCTTGTGGAGCCCACCAGGGATCTAAGGCAAACGTGAATCATGGCACAGCTCTGGGAAACTCCAGAGGAAAGCCCACTCTCCCTCTCAGTTCCTTGCGGCCACCACCCCTACTCCCATATCAGAGCCCTTGGCACACCTTAACCTTTGCCCCTACTTTCCATTAATTTAGTCCACAGTGGTTCAGCCTCTCTTCCGCATGCCCCAGTCTGTGCTCTATATGTTGGGAAGTGCTGTCTTTTCTTGAGGGCTTGTAGGTCTTGTTTAGATTTGTTTTGATTTTTCCTTACTGAAATGGATTTTAAAATTTAAATGGTATCAAATTTACAGAAGAATTGCAAGAATAATACAAAGAACACCCATATACCTTTCACTCACATTCATCAGTTGCCAACTTTTTGCCTGAGTTACTGTATCATTCCATCTCTATATGTATATTTATCATTTTCTGAATCATTTGAGAATAAGTTGCAGATATGTCTTTTACCCCTAATTACTTCAGCATGCATCTCCTAAAAACAAGGACATTCCCTTAAATAACCATAGTAGATAATTCAGGAAATTTAACATTGATACAATACTATTATCTAATCTCCAACCCGTAATCAAAATTAGCCAATTGTCCTAATAAGTTCTTTATGGCTTTTTTTTCCTTTGTTACCTCTCTCTAGTCTTCTTTAATCTGGAACACTTTCTTAATGTGTCTCTGTCTTTATTGATCTTGACATTTTTGAAGAGTACAGGCCAGTTATTTTGTAGAATGTTCCTCAATTTGGATTTGTCTGAGGGTTCCTCACGATTAGATTAAGGTTATCCATTTTTGGCAGGAATAACACAGAAGTGATGTGTTCTCAATGTATCATATCAGATGGCACATAATATTAATTTGTTTCATTACTGGTGGTACTAACTTTAATCACTTAATTAACATAAGGTCTACCAGGTTTCTCCACTGTAAAGTTTCCATTTGGCGGTTGGAGAGGAAGGGAGCAGATCTCTTAAGCCAGCTGCCACTGTCATGTGGACAGCATATCAAAGTGGGGACAGAGAGAGAGTAGAATCTAACGTAGAAGGCTGCCATAGTGGTCCAAGTAAGAGTAGATGGTGTCCTGGAGCAGGGTGGCAGTGGAGATGGAATGAAACCAAAATGTTCAAGAGCTATTTAGAAAGTAAAATCAGTGGGATTAGGTGATTAATTGAGGGAGGTGTCAACTCCTAGATTTCTGGGTTTTGCAGCTAGATGGATGGTGGTGTGATTTTCTGAGATAGGAAATAGAGGGTCACCAGATTTTGGAAAGTATGTGTGAAAATGGGGAATCAGTTAGGAATTGTGTCCATCAGGATCCCAGAAGGAAACAGATAACACACTCAAGGGATGACTGAGGAGGCTTTCTTTAAGAGACTATTTATAAGGGTTTCAGAGACCATTGTGGGATGGTTTCAGCATCCCTGAATAAGCAGCAGACTGGAGCCCTTACCACCGTAGGCTGAAATGGCCAGAAAAGGGAGCAGTTCTTAGAACTTGGTTTCTTCTTTGATCCTTTGGTTATTTAGGAGTACATTGTTTAATTTCCACATATTTGTGTTTCCTAAATTTTTCCCTGTTATTGATTTTTTTATTTTTATTTATTTTATTTTAATTTTTGTTTATTGCAGTAACATTCATTCATAACATTGTATAAATTTCAGGTGTACATCATTATACTTCTATTTCTGCGTAGATTACATCATGTTCACCACTCAAATACCAATTACAACCCATCACCACACACATGTGCCGAATTATCCCTTTCGCCCTCCTCCCTCCCCCCTTCCCCTCTGGTAACCACCAATCCAGTCTCTGTCTCTATGTGTTTGTTTGTTGTTGTTATTATCTACTACTTAATGAAGGAAATCATACGGTATTTGACCTTCTCCCTCTGACTTATTTCACTTTGCATAATACCCTCAATGTCCATCCATGTTGTCACAAATGGCTGGATTTCATCGTTTCTTATGGCTGAGTAGTATTCCATTGTATATACATACCACATCTTCTTTATCCATTCGTCCCTTGATGGGCACTTAGGTTGCTTCCAAGTCTTGGCTATTGTGAATAACGCTGCAGTGAACACAGGGGTGCATGTATCTTTATGCATTGGTGTTTTCAAGTTCTTTGGATAAATACCCAGCAGTGGAATAGCTGGATCATATGGTAGTTCTATCCTTGATTTTTTGAGGAATCTCCATACTGTTTTCCATGGTGGCTGCACCAGTTTGCACTCCCACCAGCAGTGTATGAGAGTTCCCTTCTCTCCACATCCTCTCCAACACATGTTGTTTCCTGTCTTGTTAATTATAGCCATTCTGACGGGCATGAGGTGATATCTCATCATAGTTTTGATTTGCATTTCCCTGATAGTTAATGATTTTGAACATCTTTTCATGTGTCTGTTGGCCATCTGTATATCTTCTTTGGAGAAATGTCTGTTCAGGTCTTTTGCCCATTTTTTAATTGGGTTGGTAGTTTTTTTGTTGTTGAGATGCATCAGTTCTTTATATATTTTGGAGATTAAGCCCTTATCAGATGTATGGTTTGCAAATATCTTCTCCCACTTGTTAGGTTGTCTTTTCGTCTTGTTGATGGTTTCCTTTGCTGTGCAGAAGATTTTTAGTTTGATGTAGTCCTATTTGTTTATTTTTTGTATTGTTTCTCTTGCCCAGTCAGACATGGTGCTTGAAAATCTGTTGCTAAGACCGATGTCGAAGAGCATACTGCCTATGTTTTCTTCCAGAAGTTTCATAGTTTCAGGTCTTACATTCAAGTCTTTAACCCATTTTGATCCCTGTTATTGATTTCTAATTTCATTCCATGGTGTTCAAAGAACATAAACTTTGTACTATTTCTATAATTTTAAATTTATTGAGATTTGTTTTATGGCCCAGCATGTGGTGTATCCTGGAGAATATTCCATGTGATTGAAAATTCCAATATACTTGAAAAGAATGTATATTCTGTTGTTCTTGGGTGGAGTGTTCTATACATGTCTGTTAGGTCTAGTTGGTTTATAGTTTTGTTCAAGTCTTCTATGTCCTTGTTGATCTTCTATATAGTTGTTCTGTCTATTATTGAAAGTGAGGGGTCGGCCCCGTGGCTTGGTGGTTAAGTGAGCGTGCTCCACTGCTGGCGACCCGGGTTTGGATCCCGGGCTCGCACCGACGCGCTGCTTCTCCGGCCATGCTGGGGCCGCGTCCCACATACAGCAACTGGAAGGATGTGCAGCTATGACACACAACTATCTACTGGGGCTTTGGGGGGAAAAAATAAATAAATAAAATCTTTAAAAAAAAAAAAAAAAAAAAAAAAGAAAGTGAGGTATCAAAGTCTCCAAATATTATTATTGAATTATCTATTTCTCCCTTCATTTCTGTCCGTTTTTGTTTCATGTATTGTAGTGCCCTGTTACTAGATGCATATATGTTTATAATTGTTATATATTCCTCATGGATCAACCATTTTATTGTTATAAAATGTCCCTCTTTATCTCTAGTAACATTTTTTGTCATAGTATCTTTTGTCTGATATTAGTATAGCCACTCTAGCTTGCTGTGATTGCTGTTTGCATGCTTTTCCGTCTTTTTACTTATAATCAGTTTGTATCTTTGAATCTAAACTGTGTCTCCTATAGACAGCAAGTAGTGGATCATGTTTTTTTTTTAATCTAGTTGGACAATCTGCCTTTAGATTGGACTTTTTAATCCATGCACATTTAATGTTATTATTGATATAGTTGGATTTACACCTGCCATTTTACTTATGTTTTCTATATGTCTCATGTCTTTTAGTTCCTCTATTCCTCCTTCAGTTTTCTTTTGCATTAAGTGGATATTTTCTAAGGTACCATTTTAATTTCTTTCTTTATTTTTTCACTGTATTATTTGAGTTTTTTTTTTTTTGCAAGCTCTGAGGCTTACAATATACATCTTAACTTATCCAAATTAGCTTTCAATTTATACTAGCTTAATCCTAGTGATATATATAAACCTTACTCCTTAATAGCCCTATTTCCTTTTCTCCCTTTTTGTCCTATTATTGTTATGCATGTTACATCTATTAATGTTAAAACCCATCTGTAATAATTTACCATCTGTAAGAATTTACTTTACCATCTGTAACAATTTCCTAAGTCCAATACAGCTTTGCTCCTACTCACATTGTTTGTGCTGTTATTGGCACAAAATGCGTACATGTTACATTTCTATATGTTGTAGGGCCAACAATTCATTATATGCATATTATTTAATATGATTGCTTTTTAAATTAGTTAAGACAGGAAAGGAGAAAAATATGCTTTTAAACTGTTTTCTTTATAATTCCATAATTACCTTTACCAGGGCTCTTTGTTTTTTGGCATGGATTTGAATTACCATCTGAGGTCACTTGCTTTCAGCATGAAGAACTTCCCGTGGTATTTCTTGTGAGGCAGGTTTGCTAGCAACAAACTCTCTCAGTTTTTATATATCTGGAAAAGTCTTTATTTAGCCTTCAATTTTGAAGGATAACTTATTGGATATAAGATTCCTAGTTAACAGTTTTTTTCTTTGAGCACTTTGAATATTTTGTCTTGCTGCTTTCTGGCCTCCATTATAACAGCTGGTCTAAAAGCTGTTAATCTTATTTTGGTTCCCATGTTAGTAATGAGTTATTTTCTCTTGCTGCTTCCAAGATTTTCTCCTTGTCTTTGACTTTCAACATTTTTCCTGTGGATCTCTTTGCATTTAGCCTGCTTGGAGTTTTGAGCTTTCTGGTTGTGAAAGTTAGTGTTTTTCAATAAAGTTTTCAGCCATTATTTCTTCTAATATTTTTTCTGCTTCCTTTGCTGTCCTCCTTCTGGTACTCCCATTACATGTATGTTGCTGTGCATAATGGTGTCCTACATTTCTTTGAGGCTGTC